CTTTTATTATTAGATCGCCAGCTAGGCTTAAGCGACTTAATCAATGTTGTGTGGATTTATACTGATGTTATCACGTGTTTACATTCCAGAAATGGATGCTAAATTAATTACCTACATACAAAATAGTCAGTTTATTTCCACGAAGGCTATGCATAAAACAACTTGGTTGCTTGTCTATTTTGGTTATGAATGCTTGTCTATTACGATGCTAGAAATTTTAGACATTTTATATTTATGTGAATTGTTATGCGGATTTAAAATATAAATCAGTCAATCTAGACACAATCTCTCCCACACACTTACCAATTAATTAGATCCTGCAGCGTGATTTTATACGGATCCTTTGATTTTACCATATCGAAGATTTCATCTTTTAAATCTTCAAAATTTACAGATTCCGCATTGACGGCACGTATTTGTTCTTGAATACCCTTAAAAAAATAATGCAAAGTTTGGGCCGTCAAATATCCCTTGTGCTGGACATCTAAAATGCGAAACAAATAGTGCAGCGATTGGGGTTCATGACGATTGTCCAAGGCCAAGACGAAGTCAAGAAATGTCTTATAATCCATTTCACCATCAAATGTGCGACACTCGTCAAAAACACGATCCAAAAACACTGAAGTTAGCGTGCCCGAACCATAAGCGGCCAATTCTTTTTTACTCAACATGCCATTGTGATCCTTGTCCAAATTCAAATAATTGCCATAGACCGTCAACACGGATGGCATAGAAAACCAATTATGCTCTTGAGATTCTTTCGATGATTCCTCGTCACGTAATTCCAATAGTTCCGTCAAAAGACCTGATGCCAAAATGTCACGAATCCGTATACGTCCTGTGTGTAATGGATCCAAAAAGAAAAAGAATTTCTTCACCACCGTACAGACATAGAAACTCTGAAACGAGGGCTGAACACAACCACTGATTTGTGCTAACGTGGGTATGATGTCAATAATGTAATTTTCCATATCGATTTCTCGCAAATAACCTTGACCCACATCGTCGTAGAACGAGAGGCCAATGCGTCCCTGTGTTAGCCACACTTTACGCATTGTATAATTGAAAATGGAAACAATTTCAACTTTCCCCGGATAACCGGAATGACATTGTAATTTGGCAAACAGCCGAGCAGTTAGATATTTGCGGCACTTGGCACTAACAGCTTGCATTACTTTCAAATAGTCATCATAGCCAATCAATTGCTGGCCCATTGGCGTCACCTGTGTACAATGTTTCTCCAGTATGGACCACAAGGTATTCAGTTCCTCATTGTCCAACAGCTCTTGTGAACGTTTTTGCAAGAACAATGAGTGGGCTTCTTTGCGTAGATTTTGCCTCAGGGTATCGGTGGGAGCCGGTGGAGCATGGAAAAATTTCGGTATCGTTGAATATGTTGGATGATTAGTGTTTGGTTTTCCATTTGGAGAATTTGGCTTATTAGCAGCGGCAGCAGCACCTCCCCGGCCAGTGTTGCTGACTTTAAGTGGAGCATTTTCATCAAATGCTTTTATTTCTTCTTCACTTGGTTTCTTGGTAGTAACTTCAAGATTTTCAAATTCTTTAATAATATCCGGATCCAACTCCATATTTATATTTGTAATTTAATAGGAAATTGTAGATTTATACTTGTTTATTTTTGTGTTGTTGAAAATAATTTTTCGATAGACTTTTTTTTTGTAAACAGCTGTTGCTGTCAATTGTGATTTCTCTCTCTCTCACTCTCACTCTCACTGATAGATTTTATTTACGATCACTACACAGTGTTGCATTGTACGGTAGGCGATATTTTTAGTACAAAAATGTGAATCTCCGTTGAATTGAATATAAAAAATTATAAATAAATCAAATATTAAAACTGGAGATATAAAAAGTGATGGACATATAAAAATTGAAAAGAATCGGAATCTTGATTGTATTAGCCAAAGTTTTCAATAGAATTTTCTAAACGTTTGTATATTAAGCTATTAGTTTTATCGACCGCTTCCAATAAGAGTCAAAAACTACATTTTTGGGAAAAGTGTCTAAAAAAGAGTTATTCTAGATTAAAATTTATTCTCTGAACAAAAGAAGTTTGATTATGAAATATGTATATACCGTGAAAAAAATACCACCAAATTTTGTTTTTATTAACAAAAAATTAAGATATTTTTCATGGTATATATGGGGTGAGATGAAAAACCGCAACAAAGTCAAAAACCATACTTTTTACATTTTTCTTTTAAATTTTATTGAATGAAAGCAAAAAATGTCGCATATAACATCAAATTTAAGAATAAGTTTAGAGTTGTTCGAATTGGTCACCTATGGGACGAACTATAGCCTTCAAACGGCCAATGAAACCGTCACACGCTGCCCGAATGTTGCTCTGCCATTCCATTTCCGGCGAAGCGCTTGCTTAAGGTGATCGACACTTTCGTATTTTTTAGTGCCAACCTTGCTTTCCAAAATACTCCAGACACAACAGTCCAACGGATTAGTATTCAGAGATTTTTTGGCCATTGTGCGCTGGAAATGATGCGAAGAACCTCATTTTATAACCATTCTTGGATGACGCGTGCTGAGTCCTTTTGGAATGTTCAAGGTCTGTGTCCAAAATGTTTGCGTGCCCAAGGCTTTAATACACACTTCAGAATATTTTCGCGATAATAATCGTCATTTATTCTTATGCCACGATCGATTAATACGAGCGGAGAGCGACCATCGGCTGTTAAGACGGCCCACACCATTATCATGGCCGTCGCCAGAGTTCTGGTGGCCAACCTAAATTGCACATTTTCAGCTGACTTCTTTAGCAAGTAAACACGATCATTTTGTTTGTATACAAACTGCTAGACAACGAATGTTTTCTCATCGGAGGTAACCAAATTCGGCAATTCACCACTTTCGGCCATGCAAAGCAACTTGTTAGCTCTTTTAAGGCTAATTCCTTTCTGTTGCGGTGTAAATTCTTGCACTTTTTGGAATTTCAATGACTCAACCCCGAGCTCATTGTTCAATATTTGCCGAATGGAATATTGCGATATGTTCAGCTCACGAGCCATTTTTCGGCCACTGCGATGCGGGTTCGATCAAGTTGCTGTTTTCTTCAGTCCACTTCCTTGACGTCGGGCTACGCTACCAGTATCACGGTAACGAGCGATGATACGAGATACAAACGATTTTTTCACATTTATATCCTGGAGTGCTCTAACGGTAGCCACTTGTGGTTTTCCAGCCAAATAAAAATAAATCACCCTTTCACGCTTGCGAGTGGCTCAGAAATGACATGAGTCTAAAGTTGGTTGCAGTTTTTTATCTCTGTATTTCCTAATTTTTTTTTAAAGGGAGTTGTTGACCATATTTTGTTAGCCCGCATGAGGGTTAAGACTTTCGACCAAAATATTCCTTATATTTTTCTCTTCAATATTGCTAAAATGCACGGATTCCCATCGAAAATTAAATTAAAAAAATTAATTTGAAAATTTTCATATGTTTTGAAGAGGGTAAAACTCATCCCCTCTAAATAGGTTACTTTTTAGTGTAAACTTTCAAAACGCCAATAAAGTTATTTTCAGCATTACTTTCATAATCTGCTAAAATTACTCTCTAATTATTGAAAAAAAAAATGAATTTTGTCGCATTTGCTGTCTGTTTTATGTAAATACGGCCTTATAGCATGTTTCCATTGGAAACCGAACAACGTTGTTCGCTCTCAGAATTATGTACACGAATTAACCCGTTCATACGGCACGATTCGTAATTCATAGTAAAATAATTCCTTTTTTCAAAAATTTTGTTTGTTGATTTTAATGGGAATGTATACGAAAATACATGAAATTCTCACTAATATGAATAGAATAAATGATTGTTTTTCTCCCAAAGATTTATTATATCAATAATTTTATAATTTTCATTCACGTTTTCAACTTTTTGTGTAAATGTTGACATTTTGAATATATTTTTGTACTTTTCTATTTTTAAATTCTGCTGGAGAGACACTTGTCAAACATTTTTTCTTTCAATACAAACATTTTGAAAATATTGCCTCTTTTGTTTGCAGTTTTCTGTGAAAATTTTAACTCGTGGGCAAAATGCGTACCTCGGATGAGAGAGAAAACAAAATTTACTTTCGTTTGAATGTAAATACGCTATTCAACATTGTAGTTTTCATTCATAATTTTCAGTCTTCCCAAAAATTTTTAAAATTTCATTAAATTTTTCTATTTATAATTTTTAAATGTCATAATTTATTTTTTCGATAAATGCTCTCATTTGTTAGGGATGGGACATATTTTTTCGTTGTTCTGAGAGTGATTTGATTTGAACAACGTACAAATATGAGTGTTCGCTCAGGAAATTTTGTGTGAAGAATTAAGTAGTTTTTTCATATTTAAGGGTCAAACAACGAATAGAGAGCGAATCAAGTATAGTGGAAACGCCACATTAGGTAGGTATATATGAATTGAGATCATATATAATGTAATGTCGAGATTTTACATGAAAAAAAATTGCGAAGGCAATTATTGTGATAATTGACAATTACATACAATGTGTAAAGAGAACATTAATTGTGTAACATATTAATTGTAAGATTATAACGTTAAGAAACATGAGGTGTGAAATGATCTATTTATGTGTAATTTTTCAGGTACTACGTGACTTAAGTCTAAAATGTATATAAGAATATCACAGAATCGTTTTTTTGCATACATTTATCCCCTATGTGTTTCGGGACTCGTCTTGGTAAAAAAATCAGGTAGAAAGTACTGGCCAGAACTGTTGTCAAGATTTTTATTTAGAACTCCTACTGGTGAAAGGTAAGTTGAGCCGGACCATAAAATATTTTGTTCAGCAGCATATATTTCATTTAAAAGTTCATTGTTATGTACGGCTAGGTTTTCCACAAATCTCCTTTGGAGGTTGAGAGATCGACCAGCCAACATGTTCATTAGTTTCTAACATTCTTAAAATCGATAACACTTGAAATCGATTACAACTCTCCCTCTTTTGTTCTTCGTTTCGGCCCTCATTCTTATTTATTTTTGTGTTCCCTGTGGTCGCGATAAGGTATTTTCTTATTTCGGTAATAAAAAGAATATATTTCAAAACGGCATCATATCTGAGATCATTGTTGTTGAACAACAAACATATTTTCGGTGGAATTTATATAAAACGAGGTATAATTTGTGGAATAACATCAACAGAAATGAGTGAAAAGCCTACAACTTCCCAAAACAAAACCAAAGATGAGAATGAAGCAGTTGCTGAAGGAACAGGTGAGAAAGAAAAACATGCGTAACTGGGTGTGTTATGTGAAAGGAAAAGTCGAAAATGTAATTTAAGCTCGGACTGGAACCATTTTAAATTGAATGAGTTCAATAAGAATGTGAAATGAGGCATTTCATTGTTGTTTTGTTTCGCTAGATGGCGCTGAAAAATTGTCATAGTTATGTTTCGTTGTTGTTTAATTGTAAAACAAGTAAAAGGGCAAAATGTGAAACTCATCCAAAATTTCGCAAATTTTATAATAGACGTGAGTAAATGGATTCACAATTTCAGACTTGAATCTTTTTCCAAATTAAAAGAACCAACCACAGTTTTTTTATACCATTCTCACAAATAATTAAATGTGTAAGTTTCCCATTTCATTCAAACTATTTCTGGGAAAACTAGATCCGATGTTAGGATTGGACATAGCGATCTACTCTTTCAGGTGAATTTGCACAACATTTTAAAAATTCATAAATCATATATTCCGTCTGAAATGTCAATACTTCCCCCTGAAGGGTCGACAAAAAACTTCCAAAACTTTCAAAACTTTACAAATTTATCATTAAAATAATATATGGTACCATGTATGGTACCTTGGCAGAAACTATTGATGCTACCTTATTAGTTAAGTTTTAAATTTAATGATTTCCGTTCTAATATCTTAGTATTTTTTATTTTTAGATGAGGATACCACTATGGATGCCATTCGAAAGTTCTTCACTCAAAAATTGAATTTGGTAACAACTTTAGATGAAGAAGATGGAGCCAATAAGAAAGTAAGTTTATTTTAAATATTATTTATACAATAGGCAAAAATAAAATTGTTCCTTGAAGAGAAATACATATCCCTTTTCAAAATCTTTTAATAGAAAATATCACTTTATATTTATGACATTAATCCTACATTTATTAAGACGTTTTAATCTAACTATAGTATTTACATATGAAACTTTTTCTTTCTACAGGCTTTTGAAAATCTGACATTTGAAGGACTATGCGACCACTGGAAGTCCAAAGGTTTCAAGAACATAATCACTATGGTTGGAGCTGGTATCTCAACATGTGAGTATTTAAAAGAAAATTTATAAAATTTCATATTTTTAAAAGATAATATTTTCTTTTTCAGCTGCTGGTATTCCCGACTTTCGTTCACCTGGATCTGGACTATATGATAATTTACAAAAATACAATTTACCCCATCCATCGGCAATATTTGAAATGGATTATTTCGAAGAAAATCCTCAACCATTTTTCGCTTTAGCCAAAGAGTTATATCCGGGTTCATTTAATCCAACACCGTCACACTATTTTGTACGTCTTCTGCATGAAAAGGGTCTATTGTTACGACACTATACCCAAAATATTGATACATTGGAGAGAATTGCTGGTATACCAGACGATAAACTGGTAGAAGCTCATGGTACATTCTTTACCAATCATTGTTTGGGTTGTCGTAAACTCTATTCCATGGAATGGATGAAGGAACAAATATTTAGCGATAGTGTACCAACATGTGAGGAGTGCAATTCGGTGGTTAAGCCAGACATTGTATTCTTCGGTGAAAATTTACCCGAAAAGTTTTACACACTACCGGCAAAGGATTTTAACAAATGTGATTTGCTTATTATTATGGGTACCTCATTGGAGGTACAGCCGTTTGCATCACTTATCGATAGGGCGGGTCCCAAATGTGTACGTTTGCTCATCAATCGTACCAAGGTGGGCAATGATTTCGGTGGCATTGGTGCATGGTTTATGATGGGACCGGGTCTTATGTTTGATAATCCCAAAAATACACGAGATATTGCCTACATTGGTGACTGTGATGATGGGTGCCTGGCATTGGCTGAGGCTTTGGGTTGGAAGGATGAATTGAGTGAATTAATAAAAAGCGAACATCAACGTTTGAATAAGGAAAATGCGGACTGCAAGGAAAAGCGGGCCAAGGAAAAATCGAAAACTGATGATGACGAAAAGGAATCGGATGAAACAGAGGAAAAACCTGTCGATCCCAAGAACAAGGAAAAAGATGCCGTGTAAAAAATATTGGTGCAATATTTAAAGTTAAATTCTTTCTAGACTTAAGATAGGGCCCCTACTACCTACCACTATAGCCTTTTCCCTTTATTATTTTTAGAAAAAAATAGACTAATTTATTAAATAATGTGGTGTGTATTTCAAATACCTTTCTATGTGTATATTTTAATGAATTTAGTCGTATACCGATACTGTACTGTAAAAATAATCAAATAAAGATTATTGTAATGACGATTTCAAGTAAAGAACATTTTATTAAAATGAGAGCTGCTTTAGTCTTTATTAATGGATTGCTCTTAATGCTTATGTGAAGGGGAATGGTGCACTGGAATTCTGACGAACACCTGAATATTTTCTTGTTTAAATTGTAATGAAATCCTTTTTGTTCATATTATTTATGGAATCCAGTCCAAAGTTTTAAAAATAAATCCTGAAATATTATATGACATGGTTTTCTATTGTATAGACAAAGAAAAATATTAACAATTATTTGTATAATCTTTCTTAAAATTCCATTGTAATTTATCAATAAAATATCCAATACTTTTATTGAAATTACTTTTACTGCGGTTTTGAAGTCCGTAAAAAAGTTACAATCAATTTCCCATATCCATGGCAGAGTTCTTGATGCAATGACAAACATTCGACATCTTGTCTGTTTTAAATTACAGAAAGCAATGCCTTACAGAAACATCATCCGTACAAACAAACGCATACACACACACACCGGAAGAATTAATTAGTTCAACTATTCGACAATATACCGCAAAACTAGTAGCAACAAACAGTTGAGTTTCTGTAACCGCAAAATTGTTTTCAGCGCAAAAAGTAAATTCTAGTGAGGTAGCTAAGTAGGCGGGTAATTGCAAAACCGGATTTTAAACGAATAATTGGGTTATTCTTATTTATAATAATTGGTATATCTTATTTGAAAAAAAAAAATGAATCTGTTCTGTCCGACTGATGATTTCTATCTTACAAAAAGTAAACATTTTTTTAAAGTAGGTCCTCAGTGTCCAAAGGCAGATTTTTTCTATAGAAAAAATTCACGTCCTCAGTGTCTGAGGGCAGATTTTTTCTATATAAAAAATCATGTCCTCAGTGACTGAGGACAGTTTTTATACCCTCCACCATAGTATGGAGGGTACATAAAGTTTGTCATTCCGTTTGTAACACCTCGAAATATACATTTTAGACCCCACAAAGTGTGCATATTCTTGATCAGCTTAAAATTCTATGTCGATTTAGCGATGTCCGTCCGTTAAAAAAATGGCCATGTAGGCCCGTTTTGGTATAGCCCCCATATAACGGTACCTTCCGATATTCGGTATTTTGATGATTTTAGCGACATTATTCACAGGAATTATTTCAAATTTCGTATTTGAAGTTCGTAATGGATGCTACAGCCTATGACCGGAAATTGTTTGTGTAGGTCCACGTCTTCGTAAAGCCCCATATAACGGTACCTCCCGATATTCGTATTTTGATGATTTTAGCGACATTATTCACCGGAATTGTTTCAAATTTCGTATATGAAGTTCATAATGGATATTACAGGCTAAGATAGAAAATTGGCTGTGCAGGTTCACATCTTCGTATAGCCCCCATATTACTGTACCTCCCGATATTTGTATTGTAGCTACATTATTCACCGATTTTTTTTAAGTTTCGCATTTGAATATTGTAATGGCTTATGACAAAAGTTACCTTTTGCAGGCCCATGTCGTCGTATAGACCCTAATATAACAGCTTCATTCGGTATTTCTAGATTTTAACAGAATTTTTAACGGATCGCCAAACGGTGGAGGGTATTTAAAGTTCGACCCGGTCGATTCGGGTTTTTGCTCTCCGATCTATTCTCCTCAATATCCTGCAACATTATTCCGGGAAACATCAAGTTTGTTAACCACAACAGTGCTCGATTTCAAAACTATTAAATCGCTACTCAACCCACATCCTCACAGCAAACCCATTACTGTGACCGAGAACAAAAATGGTAGCCAATTTCTTTTATTTTCGAGAATGAAAAAACCTCAAACTATCTTCCTCCAATAGAGTATCATCAGCCATCCACAGGACAGCGTCAGGTTCAACAGTCATTTGCCTCTGTCATCAACTGACTGACAGACTATAGATGACAATTTTCACAGGACTATTACTTTCAGCTACCACAAAATAAACACGCACACACACAGGCACTTGTATTGCACAGGGATCCTGGCATAGAAAGGTGGATGATAGGTGTGCAAGGGACATCAACATCTTCTTCAATTGCAACCACAACCAGGCCACTCGATATTGTTCGATGCGGTGAAAGAGTCCAAGTTTTAAGTAAATTGAATGCACTCAAATGCAGTACCTGGCGTCCTCCTCACGTGGTCCTGTATGAGTGTGTGTGAGGGTGTAATTGTGTAAGGGCTGCCACAAATTGAAGCACAGGATGATGATTAAAATGGGATTAATTTGTTTTCATCTGCAGCTCAATTAACATCTCAAATTGCAAATATTTCCTGTTTCCGGTTTATTTCACTGGACGGAGTCGACGCTATTCAGCGAGGCATTTAAGGTGGATGTCCACAGGTGAATATGGACAAATGTATGCTAACAAGTGGTAATTTAAAAATTTATGGCACAAAGCCTATCTGGTCGTTAGACAAGGTTATATTTATGCCAGTAGTTAGGAATAAAGGGCTTGTGGTCATTTTTAAATAATAAATAGTTCGTGCCTTTAAAAGTGATCACAACTAATAGCAAAAAACTCAATAATTAAGGAGTTATGGCAATTTTAAAGTATTCATGCTTATAAAAGTGATCACAACTAATAGCTAAAACGCCGAAAACTTAATCTTTAAGAAGTTATGATCATTTTAAAATATTCAATAACTCATGCTTTCAAAAATGATCAGAAATAATAGCTAAAAACTCCGAAAACTCAATATTTAAGGAGGTATGGCCATTTTAAAATATTCAAAAAATCATGCCTTAAAAATGATCACAAATAATAGCTAAAAACGCCGAAAACTTAATATTTAAGGAGTTATGTCCATTTTAAAGTATTCAACAATTTGGGAACAAGTGCCAATTTTTCATATACATTGATTTCCATTATATATTTTACTGATCACGATTTGAATTAAAATACCCCTTTTATTTGTGTGAGTAAGCATTTTGCCACATTCCTGGCAACTTCTGACTCGTTTTCGTTTTATTTGGCAGCCGGCATATATCACAAATCATTTAGCGTTTATGAAAATTCCATTAGCCAAAAAATAGGTTAGATTTTCCAAATCTTCCTCATGGTAAATTATACATTAATACCGACTGGGAAATGGTATTCCTTTTTATACCCTCCACCATAGTATGGAGGATATATTAAGTTTGTCATTCCGTTTGTAGCACCTCGAAATACACATTTTAGACCCCAGAAGGCATATATATTCTTGATCAGCATAAAATTCTATGTCGATTTAGCGATGTCCGTCCGTCTGTGGAAATCACTCTAGCTTCCGAACGAATTGAAGTAGATTGATAACATTTTACTGAAATGTATGTTATGTCTGCAGGACTTTTGGTATTGAAAATGTATAGCCCCCCATATAACGGCTCCTCCCGATATTCGTTATTTTGATGATTTTAGCGACATTATTCACCGGAATTGTTTCAAATTTGGTATTTGATGTTCGTAATGTATGCTATAGCCTATGACAGGGGATTGTATGTGCAGGCCCACATCTTCGTATTCGGTAGGTATTTGCTATTTGAAGTTTGTAATAGATACTACAGCCTAAGACAGAAAATTGTCTGTGCAGGTCTACGTCTTCGTATAGCCCCCATATAACGGTACCTCCCGATATTCGGTATTTTGATGATTTTATCTACATTATTACCGATTTTTTTTAAGTTTCGCATTTGAATATTGTAATGGCTTATGAAAAATGTTACCTATGCAGGTCCTTGTCGTCATATAGGCCCTAATATAACAGCTGCATTCGGTATTTTTCAGGTTTTAACAGAATTTTTAACAGATTTTATTGTTTTTGAGAATTGCCAAATTCGTTCCAAATGGTGGAGGGTATTCAAAGTTCGGCCCGGCCGAACTTACAGCTTTTTTGCTTGTTTTTAGAAAAAATGCTTTCACCCTGTGCCAAAGCGTGAAGAAAATCTTGATGAATATTTTATGGCAACGTTTGAGAAAATATTTCCAACAGCTTTGGGTAATGGAAATAAGAAATGTATGTATGTGTGTGTATGAGTTATCGAAGAGATCCCCATCTAGCATATGGCATATTACCCTTGGTTTCCATGTGACCTCCTACCAATATTTTTCCATATGGGATTTTGATTGTTTCTTCGCCTTCGTGGCACCACATGCAATGTACGAACCCATGGTGATGTCGAACATCAATGAATGAATTGGTGGGATGTGGGATGCCAAAGTAATTTGGGCCAATAAATGTTTGTTTCTGGGGTTTATTAAATGATTTTTATGAGAGTGTCATTGCTTTGCCAATCTTGTGGTGCAATGTATCACATTTTTTATGATTTTTTTTCCAAAATTTTCTTTGTTTTGTCATTTCAAAATGGTATTCTTTAAAATACATCCTTGCATTTGTTTGTTGCTGTGTGACTGTGAATGTGTGCGACAAGAACTAACGACATTAAACAGCTGTTGTTATTTTATAGTCTATTTGTACGAGGGAATGGTGGCAAATTAATGGAAATTATATGGGGGCTATACGAAGACCTACATAGACAATTTTCTGTCTTAGGCTGTAGTATCCATTACAAACTTCAAATACCAAATTTGAAACAATTTCAGTGAATAATGTCGCTAAAATCATCAAAATATCAAATATCGGCAAATACCGTTATATGGCGGCTATAAGAAGACGTGGACAATCTCCTGTCATAGGCTGTAGCATTCATTACCAACATCAAATACCAAATTTGATACAATTCCGGTGAATAATGTCGCTAAAATCGTCAAAATACCGAATATCGGGAGGTGCCGTTACATGGGGGCTATACGAAGACGTAGACCTACACGGCCCATTTGAGTAGAATTTTATCAATTTACTTCATTTCATTCGGAAGCTAGAGTGATTTCCCCAGACGGACAGATGGACGGACATCGCTAAATCGACATAGAATTTTTGTGCCGATCAATAATATATATACTTTGTGAGGTCTAAAATGTACATTTCGAGGTGTAACAAATGGAATGACAAACTTAATATACCCTCCAAACTATGTAATGAATAAACTA